GACCGAGTCCGGCGTCACCCCCACATCATCCACCATTCTCGGCCCCTTCTGGTCCCCCGAGACCCCCTTCCGCGACCTCGGCGCTTCCGTCGTCCAGAACATGCCCAAGGACGGCCAGCTCACATACTTCCATGGTGTCATCAAGGACGCGGAGACGGGCAAGGGCATCCCCGACGCCGTCTTCGACATGTGGCAGGCCAGCACCAATGGAAAGTACGATGTCTTTGACCCCGAGAACCAGACCCGTCACAACCTGCGCGGCAAGTTCAAGACGGACGCCGAGGGCAAGTTCTACTTCTACTGCCTGAAGCCCACCGAGTACGCCATCGACACCTCCGGCCCCTCGGCCGATCTCCTCAAGCTCATGGGCCGCCACCCGTACCGCCCCGCGCACATTCACATGATGGTCACGCACCCCGACTTCATCGGCGTCACGGCACAGCTCTACCCCAGCGACGACCCGTACCTCGAGACCGACACCGCCTGCGCCGTGAAGGACGACTTGCTTCTTACTTTCAAGCCTGTTCAGAACGAGGCCAAGGGCGCCACCCTCGACGTCGAGTACGACGTCCGCCTGGTGTCCAAGAAGTACAAGCCGGATTCCCAGATGCTTATGCAGAACGCCAACCAGAACAAGTTCTAAGTCTAGACTTTTGGGGGGCTTCTGATTTGAATGAGAATGAGTGGTTGTTTCAGCATGTGAGAGCGGAATGTGTGTGGGTGGTGTGCGTGCATAGCACACTGAAAGGACAGCACAATGGGTCTGGATAATTGTTTTGAGCATGAGACTCCGAAGAACGGAGATTTCTCACTTTTTTTCTTCGTGTATCCCTCCAAAACCGCACTGCAAAATGGCGTCAGTGCAAATGTGGCCCGTTAGAAGGCCCAATTTTCTCCGCACGAATTAGAAATTGATATCATCTTCAAGTTGATTCGGTAGAAAATCGCGGTACTTTGGTGATTGGTTGAAACCCCGCGTGCTTGTGTCCTCGTCTCCAAGTTTGCAACTCGTAGACTTTCAGCTTAGCTATTGAGTTTCTAGGCGAATGCTACGCAGCGAATCTGAGCAAACCGGCTCTTGAGAACCGCTCTAAATCTATTCATTCCCTCCCCCGTGTGAAGTGAATCCTGAAGTCCTTGGATGAATAATCTTGAATTGACTTGACGCGACTGAAAGCTCATCTCTGAGACTCTGCGTGTCTTCAGTCAACAGTGTCCCCGACTTTTCCCCTCCCCCTCCTCCACTTACCGGGTTCCTTCGGAAACCTTCGGCTAAGCTATTCGCCCTCTCCCTTGGCTCTTGGGGGGACGATTCTTTTCCCGACTCGAAATGCCGTGGGGGGCGAGACCGGGGTAGGACGTGCGTCAGTGGGTCTAAGCCGGAACTGGAGAGCGGCTTTGCGACACTGCTGGCATTTTTAGAAGCCAAGAGATCACAGTTTCCCCTGGCTCCGGATGGTAGTCTGCACGTTATCGTGCCGTGCGTGCCTGACAGCTATCACGGCTAATGGCTACGGTAGGTAACGGACATCGATTCCGTACGCTCGGGTTGTCGCTCTTCGGTGTTAACGTGAGAGCTGCCGATCTACCGGTATGAGGAGAGCCTCTTCCCGTATTACCCCGCGATCCTAATGAATGCCTCGTTATCACCGGCAAGTAGATCGGTCAAGGGATGGCTGGCAGATCTCAATGACTACATTGAAGCCACGAGCTCCAGCTCACGGGCAGTATGTTCCTTCCTCGTGTCTAGACCTCACAGTTCTCCAAGAACAAATAGATGTGGCAATGACCTATTTTCCAATGTAAGGCTCAGAATTCCGTCGTACATTTTGGACAAGGTCTCGCCGCTCTGCATGCTCGGAGAAATATGTAAAACTTGGTATCTACTAATTGGGTCAATGACCATTCAATAGACCTCCCTGTGGAACAATTTCAACATAGCTTCTGACAAGCGGTATATGCTTCCGTTATCTCAAAAATGACTACCACGTGGTATTAAGGTGGACTAGAGAGGGCTTCCCTAACAGGCATAACCCACAGCTCTTACTTTTCTGGCAAGGTGCGAGAGTACTATCTCTTGGACATGAGAAACACATTTCTCCGAGCCCATCTTGGTTAACAACATGAATGAGTTGGGGCTTGTGCTCGAGGATGCCGGTGTCTCTTGACGTGCTGCCCACAGCACAATCGGTACAATCGGTCCTATCAGCGATAGGCCTTTTGTAAAAGGTATCCCTTGTTGCTTCGTGTCACAAAGCCAGGCCGTTGAATTACCCCTGTGCCGCCTGCCACAGTCATCGGCCCGTATAGCTTGAGATCCGGCGTGAGATCCGATTCGTTCCCACGCTGCCGGCGTCGAGATAGCCTGTAGACTGATCCAGGTCATATCAAGATTTTATCGCATTGGTAACATCAAGTAGAATCTCGCTGCTAAATCCCTTTGATTTCCTTTGACTGAGAGTCTTGATCCTCGTCATGATTCGTTGGTATCTACCGCTGCTGTGAGCTTGAGGTCCTAGCGTAGGGTGTCTTTCTCCCGAAGAAGGCTACATGATCTCGAACCTAGCAATCTTCTCTCTTCAGCAAGTTTCGATGTACGTGCATGTAAGGATCGAAGCTCGAGATTGTGCACATTCAAGTGATTCCATATATTCACACTGACCGATGCCTGACTTGAATAGTTCGTCCCCAGCACGACTCAGCCAGTGTCTCAGACCTTGGCTTGACGAAGTACCAACTCTACAATGACTCAGTCGGCGAGAAAGTCCGTGGAGTTGAGGCAAAAAAAGGTCTCTCCCCACCTATGGACGCGCCAAGGCACAGCGCGCCCAATAGAGGTTGTTTCCGTCCATAGGCTCTCTACGGCGGGAAAGAATGTCATGCTTAGAGACTACATCACCGTATTCGTGCATGTTATCGCCGAAAATGAGCATGTAGTGGCCGTTCTCATAGGATGACTTTACTCAGGTTCTATCTTACGAAGTGGGGTTGTCCTAGTTAGTCGACCATGACGTAGGGGACATTTGTAAGCTGAACGACTAGAGAGTCAACTCATCTCGTGGTGTTGAATGGTTCTCTAATCACTGAGAGACGCTCCTCAGAAAGCGTATAAATGCTTTTGGAAGACCCTCAAAGCTCATTGCCTTCCACCTAGTAGTCTAATCGATTCAACTTTGTCGGATTCAGATCAAGAGGAACTTTAACTTGGGCTGCGACCACTTGAGCTGTTCGACATCAAGATGAGCCTCGACGGAAAGAATGTCTTGCTGGTTCGTTTACAATAATGACAACAACTGGGCTCCAACACGGACCCATCACTGAATCTCTACAGACAGGCGCCTCTATGGGAATCGGTGAAGCAATCGCCACCGCGCTGGCCGCCAAGGGTGCGAATATAGTTCTCCTATCCAGGTCCAAAGTAAGTTGGCAGCAGGAGGGCCAGGTATACGGGGAAGCTTTACCTGCACGTCAGTTGACTGACGTTTTATGAAGGAGAAACTCAGCACTGTTGCGAAAAGCGTGTCGAGTGCCAATCCGAACGTCAAGGTCATCTACCGAGCAGCTGACATTGGAGTTTTCGACGTGGTCGACAAGGCGATCGGCTCAGCCATCGAAGAGATTGGCGAGATTGACATTCTCATCAACAACGTACGCTAGGCTTTCCCATCAGCTTTCAGTGTGACGCCACATCCTTCCAAGCCTCGCTAACCCGTCCCCCCGAAGGCCGGGCTCGCTTTGGGAGCTCCCGCCAGGTTCCCAGACCTCAAGATCGAGGACATCATCACCATGTCCAACACTAACATCAACGGAACCATGTTCGTGACACACTCGGTACTCAACAGGTCCATGATGAAGCAAAAGCCCGGGAAGGGCACAATCCTCAACGTCACCTCTGTCACTGCGCATGAAGTGCCACCGTTCCCGGGCGAGGCAGTCTACCACGCGAGCAAAGCGTTTCAAGAGGGGTTCACCAATTCTCTTCGCAACGAACTCGTGGAAACCGACGTTAAGGTGCTAGCAATCAGGCCTGGTGTCGTCGCGACTCACTTCCACACGCAGCGTGTGGGTTTCGATCAAGACCAGTACGACTCATTCGTGGAGGGGTATGAGTAAGTTCTTGCCACTGGTCTATTTTTTTGTTTGCTATGAGTGAATAAACTAACACCGGTCAGTCCGCTTGTGTCTGAAGACGTTGCGCAGGCGGCGGTCTACATGCTGGAGCAACCGGACAATGTCTCCATCAAGGCTCTTGACGTCGTGCCTACAGGTATGTCGAGCACCCCTGTGACTACATCAATCAACTAACCTGTAACTAGCTCAACGCTCACTCACCGTGTTTGATCGGACATGGAATCAGCGGGGTCATGATTAAATCTAAATTCAATTGAATCAGGATAAATGATGCACGCCGAAGCTACAGCTCTCTGCGGGAGGTTATAAATATTTCAAAGCGGGGAGATGGCGAAGATGTCTACATCGACTTTCCTGAACCCACATCTCTCTTCTGCTTGGGAATTAGCTGTACGTACTTAGTTAACCTAAGTACCTTTGGTCTAGTAGTCGCAGCAACATTAGTTGCCAAGTCGAGTTTCCGTCCCCTTCAGGTCGCTAAACCAAAGTCCCTAGCCTGAGTCGCAATCGCACTCGTACGCCCAAAGCTTTGATTGGTACATCAACAACCTTGTTGTGACTATATCACTTCAACTTAAGATGTTGGTATCCCGACCATCAATTGCCTCGTTCCTGGTTTGGTGTAACGTATATCTCATTGGAAGATCGGCGTCCGGACTCTTTCCAGGCCGACTTGCTTTCTCCGCATTGTCATGGCACCGGTGTTTAGGTAGTAGTAAATCCGAAGGCTGCAACATCAGCCCTATTAATACGAACCCCCTCACAGAATCGTCTTACTCAACTCACGACTATACCCCTCGAGATTGAAGATACTGTTATACTAAAGACCTAAAGGGCGCTGCTCTATTCACGTTCCAAAGAACCCAAAAATGGCTATCCCATCGTGTTGCTTGAAAGCCTTTGAATGGGACGGCACTCCAACGGGCCGAACCGACAAGCTTGCCAACAATGACGTCTACGTCGTCGGTGACAATCCACACGCCGCAGTTGTCATCATTCACGACCTTCTAGGCTGGACCTTCCCCAACGCACGCCTCCTGGCGGATCACTATGCTCGCGAAGCCAACGTCACGGTCTATCTACCAGACTTCTTCGGCGGTTGGGTTGTACCCTTTGAGCCAGTGCTTCAGAATCGATGGCACGAAATTGACCTCTCGAGCTTTGGAAGGGACAATTCACGAGAAATTCGAGAACCTGAAATCACCAACTTTGTCAAGGAGGTTCGCAAGAAGCACACGAAAGTCGGGGCTATTGGGTTTTGCTACGGAGGGTGGGCAGTCTTTCGGTTAGGAGCAAAAGAGCATGATCCTCCGTTGGTTGACTGCATCGCGACTGGCCACCCCAGCTTGCTGACCAAGGAGGATATTGACGGTGTTGGGGTTCCGGTGCAGCTGTTGGCTCCCGAATTTGATACGCAGTTCACCCCCGAGCTCAAGTCGCATTATTTCGAGACCATGTTGAAGAAGGGCGTGTCGTTTGAGTATCATCACTACCCTGGTGTCGAGCATGCTTGCTTGACTAGAGGTGATCCCGGAAAGCCTGGAGAGAGGAAGGCGATGGCTCTGGCAAAGTCGGCCGCGGTAAGCTGGTTCAGTCAACATTTGCATTAATGGCATCAAATAAGAGTGACTTTTGAAGAGTAAAAGTTGAGGGAGATCGTGAAATGATGAGGTGGAGAGAAAAGGGTAACTGAGAAGCCATTGGAGGGCACTATGTGGCACTCGAAATGAATTTAGCTTACGTACCACAATGGATTTCTAGTTGAGCCACTCGATTATGTGTTGGTAATTCCAGTCGGTAGCGAAGTCTATGCCGCTTCAAGTGTTTACTATCGATACGAGTTCAAGGTTGTTCTTCGTAGAATTTGATCAATGCCATGGCACCGATTGCATTTAGAGAAGAGGCATATATGTTAGAAACATGCCCGCTTGAACATGATTCATAAAATATCACATTGACTAAGGTTTACAACCATCAATTCGGCAAAGAAACAACAGTGTGAAGTTGTGATCTCATCAAAAAGGTTGTTGCAACAGACTTGAACCACTTGATACAGCATTGTCTCGTCCAGTCAGTTGAATTATTGCTTCCATGTCCCTTGACTACTCCAGCCAAAACATGAAGTTGAGATGTAACATGCCTTTCATGCTTCGTCACGATAAAGTAGTAATTACGCTTGCGCTAACTCGGATAGAACAAGCTTGCGGTCAATTGTGGACTGCTAATCATAACGACGTACTTAGACTATTAGAACACAATGCTTGGTATGGCATCACAATGACTCACTATAGCATAATCTCAACGAAGAGCCAACACGATGCTGTTAATGACAAATTTCGAGATACCTCGTATTATTCGTATTCTCATACGAGGAAATTACCAGCAACAAGACGCGGGGTTGATACTGATTTATAAGCCAGAGCCACCTCGGCCGAGGTTTTGGGCCGCCGCCCCCGGTCCTCCAGTCACTTCCGGAACCGAAACCGAGTGGGCTGGCGCGGGCCCCCGGCCCTAAGCGCGGGAAGTTGCGTCCGCGTTGCATTCAGCCCCAACCCGATAAAACTCCGCAGCGTCAAACCGGGCCAGCCCGCAGCTTTTCCCCGCTTGTGGCGGACTTTTGGCTGTTCGAGACACCGACATTGAGAAATGGTTTTGCGATGATATCATCCCCATGGCGATATGAGAGCCAATAGTAGGCGTGTCTCTGGGTAGAGAAGGATCCATACTTAGCTCTATGAGATTCTGGAGCATAAGTTAAACTCAAGTCCTTCTCATCAACAACAAAGCCTTGGACTAGATCATTGACTTCGACTCCAGGCAACAAAATATTCTAGGTCCTTCGAAACCAAAGAACAACATCGAACATGAAGGTCGCAGTACTCGGTGGAACCGGCGAGACTGGAACTTCCATTATGAATGGCCTGCTCTCCTCGCCTGAGACGAAATACGTAGGGACCTCGTCTATCATGAAAGTCTGTACAATACCTTGGTAAAGTTACTGATAAGCCGTTTGATAGGAGATAACTGCGCTTATCCGACCGAGCTCGCTGGAGAAGCCAGAGGTCAAAGCTTTAGAGAAGAGGGGCGTCAAGATTGCCACAGTAGACCTGAGCGGACCCGAAGACGAAATCGCGAATCAGCTTACCGATCATGAGGTGGTCGTCTCAGCCATTGTGGCAGACAAGCTGCTCGACCAAATCCCCCTCGCCAATGCGGCTAAGAAAGCGGGGGTAAAGCGATTCGTCCCCTGCTTCTTTGGGACGGTGATGCCCGGCAGGGGCATGTTGTGGTTCCGAGATCAGGTGAGGAAGACTCCCTAGACCCCCAGGATATGTCAAATTGGCTGTTGAGCTGACATCTGAATGCATCCTAGAAAGAGGATGTCTTAAATCATATCCAGACTATTTACCTCCCGTACACGGTCATCGATGTTGGCTGGTGGTACCAGATCAGCTTGCCCCGTCTGGCTTCGGGACGGATTGACGCAGTCGCGAGCCCATTTGACAACTGGATCGCTGGAGATGGAAGCGTTCTCTCTGGTATGACTGACCTCCGCGACGTTGGAAAATACGTCGCCCGCATCATTGCGGACCCACAGACCCTGAATCACAGAGTCTTCGCCTTCACCGAACTCATGTCCCAGAATGAAGTATACGATCTGATTGAGAAGATGAGTGGAGAGAAGGTTGAGAGAAAATACGTAAGTTCTAGACCACCTTCCCAAGACTCGGGGAAATAAGGCATACATGGAGCGATAAATAGACGGTGAAGGCTTAGCTTTGAGCGATTAAACTAACATTGAAACACAGATGTCGGCTGAGGAGATTGAGGCTGCGATGGTCAAGGCGAAGGATGACAAGGCCAACCCTCATAGGCTATCGGTTTTACAATATCGAAAATCGTGGGGCCTCCGAGGAGACAACACACCGGAGTACGCGCGATACCTAGGATATCAAATCGCCAAGGATCTGTATCCCGACTTAACGGGAAATTCGTTTGAGACTTTCTGCAGCGAGGCTCTGGAGGGCCAGGTCAACTCCATCTACGAGAAGAAGAAGCGCGAGGCCATGGAAGCAGCTGGTAGAAAGTAAACCAACAGACTTCTTGGTAGGTTTCGACAGGCTCAGCAATTGCGGCTATTGTTGGAACGTGTCAGCAGCCGTTCTTGCTGGACCAATAGGTGAGTCCGCAGAAATTCAAAACTTCGATTAAAGTCGCGATGCATCCACTATTAGTGAGCTGATCCATTTCAAGGCGGCCCCGGTTTCGAGTTGAAATCCATTCATTTGATCTGCATGTTTAAAACCTTGATGCTGTAAATATGGTTCGTGGGCGATCAGAGTTTAGTCTAAATCAACTCGGACTAATACTCGCCTTGGCATCACCAACGATTCTGTGAAGATAGAGCTCCGACTTAGGAGTACCTTGATTAGGTAAACAAGACCACGAAAAATGGAAACAAAGGCATTCAACTTCGAATACAGCAACAGGCTTTGAGAATTGTCATGCCAATAGTTTGCCTGCTGCAGTCAGAGAGGACGAAACCAGCGATAATGTACGTCGCCGAAGGTCGCCACAGTTAGGCCTTCGGCAACTGATGCAGGAAAGCCGCCTCCCAAGCGGGTGGGTGTTTTATCAGATCCATCAGCCGCCAAGCGCTTCCCCGCCCGTCTTCGCTCAAATCCGAGCAATTTCATTTGACAAGATGCCATGTCCATGCCAGTCAGTGGAGTGCACTTGTGCAATGGAGCCACAAAAGTAGATGGGCGAGACGGGGCCGCCGGCCACCATGTCAAAATGACTAGTAGGAAAACTGGTAGTAATGAGGCCATCAAGGTTCTCTGGTGAGCAAGTTTCTGTTCTTTCTTTAGACATCTTTGGAAGTTCGGCGCGTTTACTTTCGCTTATGACCTGTAAGGAATGCGATTGACATTTCATCGCCAACGACGTGTGCTCCGAACAGACGAATCCTTGTCGCGCACGCCCTAGATCTGGGCAGCAGAAAATTTCGAGTTTACGGATGAATGACACGCTAGTCAAGATAGAACACTTAAAATTCTTTATCAGATCGTTTGTTTCACTCGGGACTCGAGAGAGAAAGCACTTGTTCATGTTGCATCTCGGATAAGGTAGCATCGGAAAGAATCTTATGTGGCAAGCGATTTACAGAGAAAATGGCCACTGAGAACCGTTCAACTGGCAAAAAGGTCAAGGGTATGTTTTCGAGCCTCGACCGCCGTCATGACTGTACATGTGCCTTGGGCTAACTTTCTTGGCTTCACGTAGCCTTCTTCCTTGGCAATGAGGCAACTTCAAAAGAAGAAAGACGTCTTGTGCAGAAAATAGGTAGGCACTCCCATTATCTCTGCATTAAAAGACGATGAATCTGACTAATAAATCGCAGACTTCTTCATCTTGACATACTGCTGCCTCAGCTACTTCTTCAACTACCTGGGTGGGTGATGGTTGCCTCATATCAGCTTTGGGGAAGGGACCGTAACACTGACAATGGACGGAAACAAAAGACCGTGCTGCTTTTGCCAATGCTTATGTGAGTTTCCACATCAAAAATGAGTAGACCATCGAGTAGAACTGACAGGCTCACTCTAGGTTGCTGGCCTCCGCGAGGCCTTGCACATGAAGGGCCATGACTACAACACCGTTCTTTCGGTGACCACTGCTGGGTAAGATCTAGGCCGACGAGTAGCGTTTCCACGAACATGAGCTGACCCCATATCAAAGTATGGTGGTGGGACAGATTCCTCATGGCATCATCATCGGTCTCCAAATCGTCCGGCCGCGAATCTGGCTGCCGTCGATGTGCTGTCTCTGGGCATTCCTGACTGTACGTCTCATCGATGTCAAATTATTCTATTGCGGCTCGCTAACAATACTCAGATGGCTAGTGCAGGCGTCAAGAATACCGCTCAGCTCTGCGTTATCCGCTTTTTCCTTGGCTTGGCGGAGGCTAGCACCTATTCGGGAGCCATCTACATCATGGGCTCATGGTACAAGCCTGAAGAAATCTCGAAGCGCACGGCCATCTTCACCGCGTCAGGTCAGGTAGGCACGATGTTTGCCGGCGTCATGATGGCTGCCATTTACAAGGGACTGGGCGGCCTTGCCGGTCTTGGTGGTTGGCAGTGGGTCTTCATCATTGGTACGAAAAAGTTGACGAGGCCTGCGGCTGGAAGAACTTGCTGACAAACTTCAGATGGCATCATCACGCTTCCCATCGCGATCTTCGGCTTCTTCTACTTCCCGGATATCCCTGAAAACACCAGCGCTCGGTATCTCAGTGACTCTGAGAAAAAGATCGCCGTTGGACGTTTGCCTCCAGTCATCAAAGGGTCGCACGGAGTCAACCCGTTCTCTCTGTTGAAGCGTCTAGTACTCATGCCCACCTTGTAAGTCGAATATCTCGCTTTTATTCCGACATGAGTTGGGAAAGCTGACCACGTAATAGTTGGGTTTTGGTGCTGTGGTCTCCGATTTGCGCTACACTCGAGGCCTGGGTTGTCCAGGGTAACTTCATCCTTTGGCTTAAATACCACGCCGAATCCTTCACGCAGAGCCAAATCAACACCTATCCTTTGGGCGTGCAAGCAGT